CAGTACTGCGAATCCACGATGCCTACATGCCGGAATAAAACCCAGAACCTTCGGGTTCGCTCGCGAACGCCTGGCCGTCTTGACAACTGTGCCAGCATCCAATGGTGTTAGTGCCTCACTGGAGGTTAGGTGTTCATGCATGAGCATGTAGGTCCTGGGTTCGGTTCCGACGTGTGGGCGTCATGGATGCACAATGCTGATGAGTCCCGCCTTAGCATGAAAAGAGCACCCACTGCTTCCGGGTTTCCGATGGTGCTTTAGCCTTGCATAAATTCGAATGAAGTGCTCCTTAAAACACCTTTCGATACTGAATTACGGAATCAAAATTTTTACTAAATGGTATAAAATAATTAATCGTTAACAAAGTTATGATAAAACCTTTCTAAGAATCATATTTCGAAAAATTTTTTATAAATGATTCATTTCCTGTGTGTATTACAGAGACATCATGTGAAGAAGATCTATGTTTTTTAGTTCAAAAAAGACTGGAAATAAGTAGATTCTATAAATTACCATCCAACACCAATAACAGAACTACTTAAAGGCAAAAAAATAATTCAAGATCGAAAATCATTTCATACATCTTTGAAAAGAATATGAAGTAATCGATTGAAATTTTTAATGTAACTAGTTTACAAAATATGTTTTCTGTGTAATCGAACCGCTCAAACTAAAGTTGACGGAGCTTCAATCCAACCACCAACCTGCTAGTTAGAATTCAACATTTTACCCGTCTATTCACTGTTATCAGTTGAACTGCACAATACAGTATCAAAAGTGAATCTGCCTGTTTATTTAGCTTATCTTCAGTCCATGACAAGACAAAGCATTATAAAAAGTAATAATCAAATCTTCAGTTGTGATAAAGTTTCAAACAATCAAAATTTATCACTTCACTTAGTGCTTATTTCACTTCTGTTTTTATCAACTATACGCATATTTTACATGGCTCGTTAGTGCGAAAAACTTTGAGTTATTGACATTATTTTACAAAACGTTTTACCCATATTATAAATACAATAATAGGTTTTTTTTTGATAAACAGTATACATTACTAACAACTACGTACATTTAGTAACCTAAACGTCAAAGTGACAAGCTTTGTAGAAGACATTTTTCTAGTAAGAAATTTAAATGTGAGAAAAATAATGGGGAGAAAAAAGCAGAAGACTATAAAAATAATGGAAAAATAAATGTGAAAACTTATTAAAAGTTATGTGTGTACCATAGAAACAAACAACCCATGGGTTGGCAAAATAGTGAATAGGTAAACAAGGATAAACATTGAAAAACTCAATAAACAATTAAATAAATGAGACAAGTTAGAATAAAACTCGTTAGTGTGTGTACAGAACAAAAAAATATAGTAACAAGAAAAAAAACTCAAACTAAGAATCATATAGATTGTAGTGTGCAGTTGCTAAGGTTAAAAAAATGGTTACTTTGTTATTTAGTGGATAATGACTATTGTTATGAATAGTGTAAGAGAAAGAAACACAAAGTGGAAAGAAATATTGTCAAACTGTCTAAAGTTTATTTAGTATCATCCGATAAAAATTGTATTCCATTTGTAAACCAGAATAAAAGATATATATATATATATATATATATATATATATATATATATATATATATACAAATCTAGTAATGACTCATTTGTCACAGATACACCAGATTGTTTACTCTATCATGTGTTATTAATGCAACGAATCAAGTATTTGAGATTTTTTAAAGTAAATATATTTTAAACGCCGAAGTAGGATATGACGTTGGGAATATAGTATCATATATCAACTCTAGAATTACTAGATTGTGAAAACATTCTTGATAACATATCTTTTTACCTTTCGGAATCGGCATATATGGATTCTGTTCCATTCTGTTACTAGTCGATTATTGTTAGTAATGGAATGCAGTGTATGCAATGCATTCCACCTAGGGCTCAACGAGAAGGATGTACCTGCACCTCGATGTTAATTTTCATACTGAGATTAGAATTTATGATATGTCTTATTGAAAATCTTGTAATAAAATGACTATATAAAGTCACTTCACACACGATTCATATGTCCCAACGAAAGTTGATAGGAAATTTAATTCAGCATGTCGACAAAAAGATGATGATCATTTAAACGGCTACTGTTGCTTGCGCTCAATGGGCAGCCTGAGAGTGTTTGAACTGAAAATTACTAGGATACATGTCCAGTATGAATATCGACATCGAAGTACATGTATATAAAGCTTAAAAATCTCAATGACTGAAAGTGTGCACACCTAACTGCACAACAAGCCTTAATCCAAGCCCTCGTTCTAAATTAAAAAAGGTTGAAATAGTTTTAATTCTTTCTTTGTAGATTTTGCATATCCATTTTGAATCGTAAATAAATTGTTAAATTCTATGTTTATTTATAAAAATATAAAATCGTACGACAGAATTGTTTTTTAAAAACAAAGTAATGAAATCTGCTTCACTTCTAACTGAAGTTTGTGCTGATGGTGTTGGTCAGAAGAACAATGAAAGCTCTACAACCAGCTCAGAGAAACAAACACCACGACAATCTGCTTCAAAACTTATTTTTGTTTTACTCATTAGTTAATTTATTAAAATTGTACTCAAAGCCAATTTTTGAAAAACAAACACAGATCCAAAGATTTTTGTCATTGTTATGCTTCAGTAGGCATTGAAATACTTGAAAAACTTTTTTTTTGAAAATGGATTTTACCTAATGTTCTCTGTCTTCAGAAAAGCCTGGTAAACGTTGAGATGTTATTAGGTAGATGTAAATTACTATACATGTAAAGATTGTATCATATACTCTACTTTTTTATTTAACTGTTAGCCATTCATTTGATGTTTTACAAACACTAAATTTTGTTGCGAAAGACTACGAAAATAAAGGTTTACTCAATCCAAAACAGTAGATTTTCAAATTGATCATTTAAGATTTTAAAAAAAACTGTTTGTTTTAAAAATGATACACGAGAAATGTTAAACAGAATCGTATGGAATTCACTTGAACTAACAAGAAGCATTAAAATTTTTCTTATCATAGAAAGTGTTGAATTTATGAAAAAAAGTTCCTTAATTAACAAATTACTTACATCAGAACTTCCGAATAACATCTGCTATACTTAAGTAAAAAGGTTAATTTACACAACGTTTTATAACAGAAATTAATTAATTTAACCATCTGTTATTATACTAAAATGTGAGATGCGCAAATTAGTACCAAAATTTTTTACTAACAGTTAAAAAGCTAAGAAATATTTTACTAGCTTAGGCCTTATAGGCCTGATCACGTCAATACATTTTTATGAGTGACGAAACGCTTAACTTTAAAAAAATATGATTGCCAAATTTTAACTTTTTAAATAATAACCATTTGCATATAGCAATTAGTTTTGACAGAGTTGTCTCAAATTATAGTGTCAGCCAAGGTTCCATGCAAATGGAAAGTCCTATGAAAAATGAAGGAACTTGATGATAATCACGTTGTAATGCAGTTCAAGTTAGTTCGGACCATCTTGTTGAGAACTAGGGTTCAAAAAGCTAAGAAATAACAAGTACCTGCATTAACATGTAGTATTAGCTACAATAGGATTAAGCTGCCAGAAAACTAGTGGTTTCCAAACCAAAACTCGACATCAGTCTAATAAATCCTTGACGTTTTGCAGAATCGCTATGGAAGATTAAAGTTGACGTGGCTATCGCGGTCAATGGTCAGTGAAACTAAGTAACACGGCTCAAAGAACTGTTCACAGGGTAGAAGTGCATTCACCGTTTTTACTAAAATAGTCCCAGCATTCCAATGTCCTTTGATATGTACTTGTTCCTTTAAAGTAACGCAACATTTCAGTTTGCTGCAAGTTGATTATGGTTGACTGCAATAGTAACAAAGCTTGAGAATTCTGTTGAACCATTACCAAGAACATCTTTTTCCAACCATCTTCAAACTTCACCCTCGTATGTGCAATTCAGTAATCATAAATATATATCAAAACAGTAATCCTAGATAAATTTCAAATAATTACATTTGAGAAAAATAGATACTGTAACAGTGACCAATAGATTAGCTGTGTTTTGTTTCTAAGCATTCCAGTCTGAAAATTATTCCACGTTGAAAATTGAATTCCCCTTGAAAAACTTGAGGGACATAACCAATTTAATTGTTCTACCTCAGGTGATTAGATTGTCATACTGGAATAAGTTCAAGAACGTATTCGACAAATTTTGGGATTTAGAAAGGATTTTCGAAGTTTTCGGACAACAGTTTAGTTTTTATTTATCACTCTGTTTCGACTAGACAGATAACATCCGAAGATTAGCAGACAGAACAAACAAACCTTCAAATTGATAATGGTATGTGAATCTTCCTTGATTTAGTATCTAAATTTATGAAGCCTTCTAATAAAATAATCAAATCCATCTTAATCTGGTTACCTACAAATCTATAATTGTTTTATACCTGATACCCAAGTGTTTAGTAAAACTTTTGCGGTGAATGAAAAGATTCTGCAGCGTTTTTATATTTAAATAATAGCTGAAAAGAATTCAAAAACCTGATAACAAAACTATTTCAGTCGTTCATATCTACATTTTGACGTAAGAAAATAATCACAAAATTGAAAAAAAACCCTTTTTTTGAATGAAAAAAACATGTCACCATTTAGATTTGATAGAAATCATGTGTTCATTTAAAAAATCAAGACACACTCTGACTGACATAGATCATTCATTAGCAAAACCTAATTGATGACCAATTACTATTATTATTTTAGTGAGACAATGCAAATAGAATATCACTGGAACATCAGCTATCCAATGATAAGCCATAATTTTGTGAAAAAGAAGAAAATTGTCGACCAGAAAGGAAGAGAACATTTAAATGATCCGAGTATCATCTTTGCACTGAAAGTGACTACATTTAATTTAATCTAATTTATTTGAAATAACAACAAGAATATAAATCAACAACTCCCCTCATATAAAATGAACTTACCTCAAATTGAACAAAAATATGCATATTATTTGACTGGATCAATGCACGTGGTATATTTAAATTAATGAAATTATTCGATGAATTAGGAATGATTTTAGTAGAATTTAACTGATGTATAAAATGAATTAATTTAACTTGAATAATTGGTTGTTTTGTAAATGAATAATCTTTATTATCAATAAAATTATTATTATTAGTAGTATGTTTATTGATACCAGGATTGTTATTTTCCATATTCTGATAATCTTCATTGAAATCTGATTCAGAGTCAATAGATAAGTTTTCTAAAAATACTTCATTATCCACTCCAAGCAAATCATTGTTATTTAATCGATCCGATTGGAACTGTGTCAGTGGAACTGTTACACTGCTACCACTACTACCACTACTACTAATACCATTGGAACTAACTCCAACACTATTGACATTATTGAAACTAGATCCATGTGAATGTTTCTCTTGAGCAGTATATTCCATAATTATTTCAGCCACAGTCATAAAACTAAATAATTGAAAAAAGAAACAGTTAATATACATATGGATAAGCACGTTTTAATTACAATAGTTAATGAAAAACAAACTATTAACATAAATTTTTTATTTGCTTCTGTATTTGAAAAAATAAGTACGATTGGCGAATTTTTGATAGCTAACATAATTTTAATCAGTTTCATATTAGACACAAGCGATATTCATGACTCTGTGACAAGCAACTGAAGCGAAACAACAATATTTCCATGGTGAATTTTCATAGAAATTTCAAGATTATAAATTTAATTTCTTTTTTTTTTAAGGAAACTATTGAAAAAATAATAAGGAATAAGGAATTATATTATGAAATAATTACAAAATTTAAAATATTGTTACGTATTTAATAATTAGACAAAGGTTCAGCTAATTAGTAAAATCTTATAATCACAGTTTGATACCGTTTATTTGAAACACATTTATTGCGTAGTAAGATTGAAAGTAAAACGTATATATAACTAAAAGAACGTTTTTGTTTTCAAATCAGTCCCCTCAGTTAAGTAGTTGGAGCTAGTCCTCAGAAAAATTACTAACCTAGATTTCTTTCAAGGTTGAACTCATAAGCGAGAGGCATCTTGTGATCTTCATAGATGTGATGCACCCTAATGAGTTCGAACCATCCAGTCTCATTATGTAAGATGTAATCACTGAGCTATTCAGGCAGATCACTTCCAACTGTGTAACAATATAACATAGTGTACGAGTCGTTAAAACTCTAGGGTACATTGCAAATTGATGGACAGAATCTGATCAGCACTAAAGGATCAGACAAGAATGACGCTGCTCTACTCAGTGATCAATCAGTAAAAATGAATTCGGATCACGAATAGCTACAAGAAAGTCGATGTTGCATAGCTGGAGGACAGAATTCGGCTTGAATGATTTTTTATACGTATAAACAGCTGGTTCTTCAGCTTTAGTTAAAATATTGATTAATTGGTAAAACTTATCACGTTAATCAAAATCCTTTCACTTCTGCTCAAAATCCACAGTCACATGCAAATCAAACATTCCTGTTATTTACATGCCTTGAACTTATAACAACATGAATTCTCAGAAATGTTCGACTACTTAAGATAAATTGAGTTAGACAGTTAATTTACTGATTAGCTAAACAGAACAAAATATAGTCTAATCCCACACTGGTAACTATTATTTCAAAAAAAAATACAGATAAAAATGTTACCAATAGTTTAGATTCATTATTCTGAATTAATGTTATAAGTTCCAATGACAACCAAAATAATAAAAATTTATCTAATTACAATTTCATAACTTCCCTAAATATCTGAACTCTTCATATGTGATAATGGTATGGAATAAATTAAACAGAAAAATAATCATTACAGATAGATAATATTCATCATTTAAATATTCCCATCGGTTTATTTTCTGTTTCATTTCATTCTTAATTTTTCAACTTGATCAATTTAAACATCTTTTTACAATTCATTTAGGTTGCCTAATTATGTAATATTGATTTTATCCAGTTATAAAATCTAAGATGAGAGTTATGAATTAATCGAGAAGAAAATCATCTTAGCATAAATGACTTGAAAAAAAAATTAAAATGAGATAAAGATAGTTTGAATATTAAAGATAAAACAAGTTTTATCCAGTCTAATGTGCACATTAATTAGTCATTCAGCCAATTGTATTTGTGCATAAATGTCTGCATATATAATGGGGTTCATATGATACGCGAAAATAAGTGTGTACGTACAAATGCTAATTAAAAATGGTTCCTAATTCCTAAGCCATATAAAAGAAAAACAAACAGAAATGGATGATCATATCTAAAATTCATGTTGTTAATGTGCCTTTACGTCATGTATGAGGAATATTTATTTATCTATGATGAATACAACTTATTTTTATGTTATGCAATTTAACTAGTTAGTTAGATTAGGATAATTGTTATTATTTAGCTAAGAATGTTTATTCTAATTTTTTGCAAAGAATATTATGAAGCTTTAGTTGATGTCGGAAGTTTTTCCGTTTACTTTCTCCCTCTCTCTAGTTATATATATTATCACTTATATCATCTTGTTTGCTTCATAATTGTGACGACGCAGTGGTTTTGTCGATTATTTTTTCTATCATTTACTTATGCTCAACAAAGACTGTTTTTCTAAAGGTTTAGAATTAAAAAATTGGAATTTCTGTTTTAAGTTCCATAAAGTTTAATTTATAACGATCAACCGGAACAGGATGGATATTCTGCAATAATATCGGTAGTAACTGTTAACAGTTCCAATTCAAAATGATATGATATGCGTATTTAAATACATAAATCAGACAGTATTATTAGAATTAAAAGGTTATTTTTTTATAGGATTAAATTAGTGATTCACAATGCTCATAATTTAACCTAATTTAATTTATTCATTCACGCTGTGTTTGAGACTCATAATTTACTATTTTCAACAAAACTTTATCCACATAGTTAAGGGTGAACAAATCTAAATATTATTTCAGATATTATTATTATTATTATTATTATTATTATTATTTCGGACAGGTCATATAAACTAATTGACAAGAGGATACTGAAATTAATCATTTACTATTAAATTGAACAATAACTTACACATTTGTTGTCAGTAATAAAGTTGATTTATCAGAGCTTAACTTAAATATGCATAGTTTGTCACCAGCGTATTACAAATAGAACCTTTTTAATTTTTTTAAATACATTATACCTATTATAGATTTTCATCCGTGATTTGATGAAAACATCTTTGGAAAAACTTGACTTTAAAAACGAAAACATTTTAAGTAGAAAGTTATTTAGCATGAAACTCTATCATTATTGTTGTTTAAAGAGTACAATGAAGATGATTTCAGTTTGCATGCCTTGTATTCCCATCCAAAGATCATTACTTATTTTCCTGGTGTCATAGGAAATTGGATTTTTGAATAATTGGGTCGTAGTGTGGTGCTGTGGTGCGAACTACTTATAAGTAGTATATAACGTGAGTGTCAACGTAAAGTCTCGTAGCATAATATGGGGGGAAGATCAAGAAAGGAAGAGTCAGAAAACAATGGAATTTGTATGAAACGCATGAAGAGTGACAATGCATTGATGTTTGGCAACAGGAACAGTCCAGTTCCATAGGATGAACTGATCTTTTGCAAATGAACGATTTACGATATGGTTTTCCGATTTTACTGAGTAACTTTGTAATTTTCGTTAAATACAATTCGGTTGCCCCCACCTGTGTTCTCATTCACTACATTTGGTGTCGCTGCCTATGCAAAGGATGAATTTTCCATGGCCGAAGGAGTTTGAAGACGGGGATATGCGGGGCTTCCTGAAGGAGTTTGAGGCCGTGGCGGAGCTGGTGGGGGTGAAGGAACCGAAGGCGAAGCTGGTGGTGCTGGGGACGCTGCTGAGAGGAAGGGCGAAGGCCGTATATGACGGCTTGGACGGTGCTGGCGGGAAGACGCCATGGGAGGCGGTCGTTGAGCGGCTGATGACCGAGTTCGACAGCCCGGTGGACAGGGAGGAGGCGTTGCGGAAGTTCCGGTTGGCGAGGCTGTCGGCTGATGGTGACCCGCTGGTGCTCGCTGTGGGACTCAAAAGGTTGCTGCGTCGTGCTTTGCCGAATATCGATGAGGAGTCGGAGGCACAATTGTTGGCGTCGCAATTTATTGAGAGTGTGCCTGCCGCTGTGTCCCAGCAGCTGAGATTAGTAAATGCAGCACAACCTATGGACATCGGTGAACTGGCGAAGGTGACTCGTCAGCTGATGACACGAACAGTAGCTCCGGTCGGGTGCGAAAAGCAGGAGATAAATACTTTCGAGAAGAAGATTGAGGAGTTAGAGCGTGAGATAGCAGCATTACGAGTAAATCATAAAAGGAACGATAAATGTTACGCTTGTGGAGAGGCAGGACATTGGAAGATAAACTGTCCAAGAAGACGACGACGACGATATTTTAAACATTATAACGTGTTTTCTTTCCACCCTAGGAATTGGGAGGTTCTTGCACTAGTAGATAGAGGGGCAATTTATGCCAGAGTGTACATAAATGAACGGGAGTTAGTGTGTTTGATTGATACAGGGGCAGCTATATCGTTAATAAGCAAAGAGCAATGTAAGACAATTAAACCATGTACATTAGCTGTCCACACCATAGGAGGGCATATGCTAGAGGTGTTGGGGGTATCTAACAGTATTGTAAAAATGAGTGGAGCTGAGATAAATTTTCCGTTCGTGGTAACCACAAGCTTATCGAGACCGATATTAGGAGCAGATTTCCTAAGAGAGGTAAAAGCAATAATTGACTTGAGAAGCGGGAAAATGGTCACAAAGTACGGTTCATTGCCAATACATGAAAGTAGCGAAGTGGCTGAAATAAGGATGGCAACGGACGTCTCGACCAAGAAACCTAACGTTAACGAGTTATGCGCAAAGTATGCGAAACTGTTCACTGGAGATGGGGAGCCGTATGGATTTTGTGACAAAGTAAAGCATGAAATTCCTATAAAGAACGACCGAGTAAATATATTTACAACACGTCGTATCCCAGTGCATTTAGAGGCCGAGGTAAATCGACAGGTCCAGGAAATGTTGAAGGAAGGCATAATTGAGGAAGCAGACAGCCCGTATAGCTCACCGGTACTCTTGGTAAAGAAACCCAATGGAAAGTATAGATTTTGCGTCGACTTTAGAGAACTGAATAATATAACAGACCTGAAACCGTGCGCAATGCCAACAGTAGTAGAAACATTAGATCGATTACAGAATGCCACGGTGTTTACAGTGCTGGATTTACGGTCAGGTTATTGGCAACTACCCATAAAAGATAGCGATCGCAAAAAGACAGCATTTACTATACGGGATAAACAGTATCAATTTAAAAGAATGCCGTTCGGGTTGGCTGGTGCACCGTTCACGTTCAGAAGATTGATGACGCTGCTGCTTAAGAATCTAAATAATGTTGAAGTATATGGCGACGATGTAGTTG